TTTTTCCCTACATAAAATTTTCATGAATGACGTTATGAACATGTTTCAACTTGTCTTAGAAATACAAGTTGCACCACAATTTAAGAGATGTGAAAGGTAACATCTCCAACAACGTGTGGAAATAGTATCCTTGTTCATTGATGCCTTTATTTCAAGTCACTCTCCAACAAAAGCTTGCTTTCAAGTTTTATCAGAAGATATGTCAAATAATTCATCGACGAGGGAATTCAGTTATTCTAGAGGTGGGTGACTAACGAGCTTTTACTTTTTACTAATACTTTGAGAAAAGGACTATAATTGGATTCACTCGTAACAAAATTTATTAAGAGAAAGGGAGTTATGACCCTGCATTGTTGTTATAAAAAATTTCAAATAAAATAAAATCATGTTATCAATTTGTTGTTCATTGAAGTTAAACTAGCTTAACTTGTAATGAGTTCATTAAACACATCATGTTACCACATGTTTATGCGTTTGTAACGTGAAAGTTTTGATTATCTCAGAAGTCAGAGTCATATCCCAAATTAATATTCTTCAAATTGATAAGGGAAATTAATTCAGTGATATCATAATAAATTGTGTTCAGAAACAGTGCTTCTTTTTATTAGGCTTTAGCTTATGTCCAATGTTCCTGAACTAAAACCCAGGGCGATTTGAGTAATGTGATTAGGTGAAGCTCTTTAGTCACATGTTGTTGATAAATTGATGTCAACTATTATCATCACAATTCTTACTCCTCATTAGCTCAATAAATATTTTGGTTTCTGTAATAATTTTATCGTGAAAATAATTTGAAGAGTTTTGTGTCCGTAACACTTTAAGAATTGCTCCTTATTTTGGGTAATACTTACTATTGAAGAGATAAAATAAAATCAAAATAGATATTTTTGACGAGTGGTTGAATCAATCATCAAAAGAAGAATTAGGCAAAAAAATTAGGATGCATTCTGAAAAAATAAAACTTCCATCGAAAAGAAGAAAAACTTTCATAAAAATGTGACACTTGAAAAGAAAATGTTATCAAAGAATTTGCGGTGACAGATTTGACTAAAGGTAGAATTGTAAATAAACATATAATGTGGAAATTGTTTTTGTTAAAATGGACATGATTAATTTTATTTGGTGAAATATCATTATTTATTCGAAAAAAGTAGAACATTATAATATGAGCTCGTCTTTTGAAATTTCAAATCGATAAACGGTTGAGTATTGAATAATTTATTAAATCTAATGCATATGAAAAAAAACTATAAAATGTGAATGTTTGAATTTCATTAAAAATGTGAAATAAAATTGATGATAAATATATAAAGTACTCTTCTTCGGGGATATAGATCAATGATGATTAAATATGTCTAAGTAATCAAGATTTAATAGTAGATCAAATATAATAATAATTATTATGTTGATTAAAAAAATATTAAATAAATATAATATCATAATTTTATATCATTAAAAATTAAAATAAAACATCATTTTAACATTCAATGTATATATTAAATTTTGAACTAAATATAATATAATATTTAAATTTAAATTTTAATAAAATACTATATCTTTCATAAATAACTAGTTTATATTTGGAATAAAAAGTATCAAGTTAATATAATATATTAAATCAACATAAATGATTAAATTATATTTATAAAAAACATTAAAAAATAATTTATTATAATTTATAATTTTTTTTATTAAATATGTATTTTTATTAAAAATAATTTAAATTAAATTTAAAATAAAAAATAATTTTTAATTTGATTGATTGTTTTAATTAGTTTATTGCAAACAATTTTATAAGCCAATCGAACCTAATAAAGACTAATTCCTAATTGCACTAGTTAGTTCAGTTTGGTCTAATTTTGATAACCATGTCTCATATTGACGTAGGAATTTTAAATAATAATATTTTACAAAAATGTATCTAATAAGATTATTTCTCTAAAATGACAATTTTGAAAAAGCACATGTATATTTGTGAATGTTATATTAAAATTAAATATAAAGGTCTTTAATTATCTAGATACATGTATAAACATTCTCAAAAAATGTTTGTGACTTACCAAAATTTAAGTTTTTTTTTTCTATAAAAAAATTAAATTAGAATAAGACATTTACTTTTTTATTGTTCCATAATTTGTCTTTTGTATTTCAAAAGTTTCAACACAGCTTAAATTAATGAATTTGCAAATTTGAGTCCACCAATACAAAGAGGACTTGCCATTATTCTTATGTCTTATTAAGGATTTTAATAAGTTATTTTATTATCAAGATCAAACTTTAATTTTAATTAGATATCAATTCTAACAATACTTATTGTTCATAAATTTTATCTTTCTTATATAGGATGAAAAAGTCAATCAAATTTAGCAGGTCAATTTTCCTTACTCGTAAAAAATGACAATTTGGATTGAGATCTCTTAATCTTTCAACTTGGTTAATTTACTTACCTAACTTAAGAAGTTAAAGTCAATTTGAGACAAGTTAACTTGTTAGTTTTTTTCCCCTAACTTATTATTCGTAGTTACTTTACATTTTACTTTTTTTAATTTTTTAAAAATGTTGGATTTAATTGGATGAATAATTTTTAAAATATTTTTTTTTTCCTTCTAGTATTTTTTACTAGTTAACTTACTAATCAATCAATTTATATTCCAGTAATATATCTATCTTAATCCAACAACTCACTCTTAAACAATACAAATTATGCGTTTTCAGTATATTTCTGTCTACATATTAACTTGTCTCATTCCTATGTAAGATTGGTTGTAACTTGTAAGAAGGTTAAATAAATTGACTTACT